CCAGCCCTCTGGCCTAGAATATACCTCCCAGGACATCCTAGGAGTCTCTCTGAAGAAACCGAATCACCTCAGAGAGGAAAAAAAGGTCTAGCAAACAGTAATATTTATTCAGTCTTCTAATAAAACAGCTGGCTCCCTGTCCCCAATCATTTTAAAGTGAAGCCTACCAGGTGACAGTGCACCTCGCACACACAGCTCCCAGTCACTGCTAAATACAGACAACCAGGAAAAAATATATATAGGTACACTGGATTTCATCAAAATTAAAAACTTTTATGCTATCAAGAATGTGGGAAAAAAATGCAGATTAGGAGAAAATATTTGCAAATCATATATCTGATAAAGGACTTCTATCTAAAATATATAAAGAACTGCTACCTCAATGATAAAAATATACATAGCCCAATTTATTTTTTTTAAAGAGAAAGAGAGAGAGAGAGAGAGAGAGTGAGAGTGAGAGTGAGAGAGAGAGAATTTTAAATTTATTTTTTAGTTTTCGGCGGACACAACATCTTTGTTTGCATGTGGTGCTGAGGATCGAACCCGGGCTGTGAGCATGCCAGGCGAGCGCGCTACCGCTTGAGCCACACCCCCAGCCCCATAGCCCAATTTAAGAATAGGCAAAGGATCTAAATAGACATTTCTCCAAAAAAGATATACAAATGAGCTGGGCATAGTGTCACGCACATGGAGTCCCAGCTGATAAGAAGGCTGAGGTGCGAAAACCACTTGAGCCCAGGGGCTCAAGACCAGCCAAGGCAATGTAGGGGACAGGGGGTGCAGTTCAGTGGTAGAGTACATGATTAACATGCACAAGGCCCTGTGTTCAATCCACAACACCATAAAATGGAGGAAAAAAGATAGATAATTGATCAATAAGCAAAATGGTTAATTAAGGGAAGCAAAGATGCTCATCCTTTGTTATCAGGGTAATGCAAATCAAAGCCACAAGAACTACCATGCCACATCCATTAGGATAGCTACCATCACAGAGAATGAGAATATCAAGTGTTGGTGAGGATGTGCAGAAGCTGGGAGCCTCAGACACTGCAGGTGAGAATGTAAAATAGTGCTGCCGCTTTGGAAAACAGACTGATAGTTCCTTAAAATTTAAATAGGTAGGGCTGGGGATGCAGCTCAGTTGGTAGAGTGTCTGCCTCACATGCACAAGACCCTGGGTTCAATCCTCAGCACCACAAAAAAAAAAAAAAAAAAAAGAAAAAAGGTAAATAGATAGGATCTGGAGTGAAGTTCATTGGTAGAGAACTTGACTAGTACGTACAAAGCCCTGAGTTCCATCACCAGCATTGCAAAGAACAGAGTGTGCACATCTATAATCCTAGCTACTACACAAAGGCTGAGGCAGGAGGATTTCAAGTTCAAGACCAGCCTTAAAAAGTTGTTTATGATCTAGATTCTTTACCAGTCAAATATCAAGCGATCAAGTATAAGGATACAGGAAAATGACATTTCAAACAGGCAAAGTCATTGATCTGCCATGCATCTTCTCTTTTTTCTTTTTTGGTACCAGGATAGAACCCAGGGGTKCGTTACCACTGAGTTACATCCCAACCCTTTTTATTTATTTTCTATTTTGAGACAGGATCTCACTAAGTTGCTACACATCTGTTCTAAGAAGGTACTATAGGATATGCTGCAGCAAAATGAGTTGGGTACACTAATGAAGAGAGAACTATCAGATATAAGAAACTGTAGGTTCATTATAGGAGAGTCTCCAGATGACAATTATAGAGTAATCAGTCTAAACGAGAGTAGGAAAATAGAAGCATTTTGGTGGTAAGAAGATTTCCAGGAGAAATCTGGAGTAGATAATTTAACTATGAAAATACATAAATTTCTTCTCTTTTTTTCTTTGGTGGTAAGAAGATTTCCAGGAGAAAGGAGAAACAAATAAATTAATAGATTTTAGCAGTTGGGAAAAAAACATTTGTTTTCTATTTTTATATGGTGGTTCTAATAAAGCAATTTGTAAAATATTTTTAATTTATTTATTTTTTTTAGAGAAAGAGAGAGAGAATTTTTTAATATTTATTTTGTAGTTTTCGGCCGACACAACATCTTTGTTTGTATGTGGTGCTGAGGATACAACCCGGGCCGCACGCAAGCCAGGCGAGCGCGCTACCGCTTGAGCCACATCCCCAACCCCAATTTGTAAAATCTTTAAAAATAAGCTTATTTTAAAATAAGTAAGGGTAAAAGCCATTTATTTACAAGAAAAAAAATCCAAAAATTGTACAAGAAATGAACATAATTTTTTTTTGGTTCATTGGTGATCAATCTACATTGTCAAAAAAATGAAAAATGTTTTATTTCTTTTACTAAAGTACATTACTTATTCCATATGATTACATTGGGATAATAAGGGTAAACATGATATCATAACTGATAGTTTTTAACATTTTTTTTTTGGTACTCGAGATTGAACCCAGAGGTGCTTAACCACTGAGCCACATCCCCAGGCCTTTTAAAAATATTTTATTAGAGACAGGGGCTCACTGAGTTGTTAAGGGCCTAAGTTGCTGAGGCTGGCTTTGAACTCATAATCCTCTGCCTCATCCTCCCAAGCTGCTGGGATCACAGGTGTGTGCCACCATGCCCTGCTCATAGCTGATATTTTTTACCATAATGAAATATGTAATGTCTTAGTCTCAACATCAAGGTGTAGCAATATAAGCATATTATTTAAAATTCAGGTGATAAAACTCAAATAAACAGTTAACATTTATAGACATTGTCTCTGGGACTTGGACATGGGTGTAGGGTGGAACAGACAAAAATCTAATATTTTCATTATAAAAGCCTCTTGGAGTAGATAATCTAACTATGAAAATACATTAATTTATTTTCTTTTTTTTGGTGGCAATGGGGGGATACCAGGGATTGAACTCAGGGGCACTCAACCACTGAGCCACATCCCCCGTCCTATTTTGTATTTTATTTAGAGATAGGGCCTCACTGAGTTGCTTAACGCCTCGCTTTTTGCTGAGGCTGGCTTTTGAATGCGTCTCCTCCTGCGCCACTGGGATTATAGGTGTGAGCCACTGTGCTCAGCCTACATTGATTTTTTAAAAAAGATCAAGTTCAGTGTGGTGACACATGCTCCTCATCCCAGAGAATAGGGAGGCAGAGATAGGAGAAACACAAATTCATGGTCAGCCTCCCCAACTTAGCAAAGCTCTTATCTCTAAATAAAAAGGACTGGGGGTGTAACTCAGTGGAAAAGCACCCCTGGGTTTGCACCCTAGGAATGCAAAAAATAAACAAACAAACATATAATAATTTTTAAAAAGATCAATGGGCTGCGGAGGCAGCTCAGAGGCAGAGCGTGTGCTTGGCATGCGAAAGACCCCTGGGTTCAATCCCCAGCATTGAAAAAAAAAAAAAGAAAAAGATCAAGTAAAAGAAAAGATGACTTATTTTTCATCACAGCATAGATTAAATGCAGACTTTAATAGAATCAAGACCTTCCAGGATCCAAGTCACCTTCCCAGTTTTGTTATTCCCTCTCACATAGCTTCCCCCAACGCCTTCCCACTTCCTTCCATGTTTGGGGCTCACATGCTCCCAGGCTATACAGGGGACCCATCTCTGCCTTTTGTGATCCTGCTCACCCCTAGGGCCAGGTCCAACTTCCACCCTGTTTGCAGAACCAGCTATTCCTGTGAGCAGAGTGTGAAAACGTGGGCCCCAGGGGCCATTCCAGTGTTTGCCTCTTCTGGAGAGAGCCAGCCTTGTGGGCTTAGTTGTGAATGACAGCTGGCCTTCCCAGCAGGGGCCTGAGAGCCACCTGGAATGGTATATATATATATATATATATATATATATATAAACTTTTGTGTGAATACTTCCTTTTCTAGGACAATAAGGATTTCAGATTATCAAAGCAGAGCAAATAGGGGTGAGAACTGCAGAGCAGAGGTATTAAAAGGAACCTGGCACAGTCCCCTGGGCATTAACAGAACTGAAGGGGCAGGAAGGGGAATGTGGGCGGGGCCACCCAGGCGGGGTGTCCAAGCACTTAGGATGTTCAAAGGCTCAGAGTGCGGAGGACTTCCTGCCCGTCCTCAGGGCTGGCGTGGTCAGCACTGCTCGGACTCTCCCTGCATCCCTTCCCTATGTGTACTGGGCCCCTGGAAGGCAAGCTCCCAGAGTGGGTCTGCACCTCCTGGCCCCAGGAAAGTGTCTATGGATGGGCAGTACCTGTCCACAGGTGGAGTGGGGAGAACAACAGAGGGCAAGTCCATGGTGTGGACTGTACTTCTTCTGGGGTGGCCTGGCTGGAGCAGCTCTGCAGATGAGCTCTATTCTAGTCCTACTCTCCCCTTTCCCAGCTCTGTTCAGCCCAACTCGCCCTGGAGACACACATTGGGACTGGCTGCCCATCTCTAGCCCCAAATCAATCTGGGACTTGCCATGCAAAGACCTGACCATGTTGATTCTGCTACCACCCCTGGGGGTCCCCTCTACGTCTTTTTCTAGCACTATGATCTCCCTAAAGCCCCACTTCCTGCCCAGGCCTGGAAAAGGGACTCTTGGGCTGGGGTGCGGCCCAGGGGTGGAGCATTTGCCTAGCATGAGTTAAGGCTCTGGGTTCAGTTCCCAGAACCACAAGGAAATAGAAAGAAGAAAGAAATTTGAATCAAATGTATGAAATATGATATGTCAAGAGCTTTGTCATGTTTTGAACAACTAATAATAATAATAAAAAAGAAAATTTTGAATAAAAGTGTTAAGCATGTGTACACACACACAAAAAAAAAAAAAAAAAAAAGAGGGAGGGGCTCCTTCCTATCCTCCCGGCTCTCTGGCATCACACACAGGTTCCAGGACTCATTTCCCTCCAGAGGGGGCCCTTCTGCGCCTGCTTCTCCACTTCTCTCTCACGCAGCCCCCACAAGGACACCTGTGCCCACTCTTCCCCTGCTCTCATCATCTCGGATGCTCTGGGGAAGGAAGGAAAGGTTTACCCAAGGGCTTACCCAGAACTTCACGAGAAAAAAGGCATTGGAGGGTCCCCGTTCAAAGAGCTCCTTGAGCCCGCCCTTCTTCTCTGGGAACTTGTCGTAGATCTGGCGGATGTCCACGGCTTCGAGGTAGGGGTCGCTGTAGCTGGGGCTGGACTGGCCGATGTGCACGAACAGATGCTTGTTGTACTGTGGCGGGAAGAGTGGTCTGAGAGGGGTGCCAGGAGAGGCGGGCACATAGGTGAAGTGGACCAGAGCTCGTGCCCGCCCGCCATGTGACCTGGAGCAAATCACTTCACTTCTCCCATAGGGAATACAGAAACAGAATGAGTATCTGTGATTCATGGTGCCTCTGCCAAAAACCAACTCAGAATGTCACAGCGGCATCCTGTCAGCAGCCTCCTCCAGTACTACTCTGGCCCTTGCAGGGGGTGCTGGTCACCCAAGATGTGGGACATTGAAGGGCAATCCAAGGGTGGGCTGCCACTCCTTGCTGGTGCCTCAAAGGATGTGGATCAGACACAGGAGGCTTCCCAGCTTCCTGACAGCCCCTCCGAGGCAGGGAGTGGAGGGAAGGGTGTAGGGCAGGGCTGGAAGGAGGGAGGAAGAACACAGGTCAGGGCGGGGGCAGGAAGCAGGGGAGGGCTTGGGATGGAGGAACTGCAGTCTGCAGGGAAAGAGGGAGGACCAAGGCAGGGGAAAGAGGGAGGACCAAGGCAGCGTGAGGAAGAAAGGGAAACCAAGATCACGCCCAACGTGGCCAAGTGCAGAAGGGCAGCAGGCAGAAGCCAGGAGAGCTGAAGGGCGTGGGGGCAGAGGGCCTACCGTGTCTGGGTCCTGCTGCTGCTCCAGGAAGGCAGAGAACTCCAACATCCAGAGCTTGGAGCTGGCCACACTGCGGCCCTGCCACGGGGGTGCTGGGGGTGCTGAGGGCGATGGGGTGGGTCCTGCAGGAGACTCAAACCCTGCAGAGGGTGGAAGAGGCTCAGGAACCCGTCCACCTGCCCTCCCTGCTACACCCCCTGCAAAGGCTCTGGGCCCCACAAGTGAGGACCGTGCCTGATGGAAAGGGCAGTGCCAGGCACAGGCTCGGACGTCTCGAAGGGCGAGCCTGGTACAGCTCAGTGGGTCAGGCCTCTGCACAGAACTGAACTCAAGGGAGACTGAATTCTGACGGGGCCTCTAGGCCATTGGGCTCTTGGTCTCCTGCAGCTTCTGGCCCAGGAAGGAAGATAACCAGAGGAAAATGATTCTTACAAAATGACATGAGCCCCTGAAAGCAGAAGTTTTCTGCCTGGTTCCAGCACTGAGAAAAGAACCTGGCTCAGAACAGGCACGGGATACAAGGTTGCTAAGGAATGAATGAATGAATGGGACAAAATTGACAAGGTGTGCCCTCAGCACCAAGAGGAGCTCCTAGCCCCCTTGGAAAAACTCTTCAACATTCAAAGGTGCTGTTTGAGAGAAGCAAGTAGGAAGTTCAGGAAGAAAGGGCATTCCAGACAGAACACCAAAGGCAAACGCGTGGGGCTGCAAATCGGCTCACTGAGGTTGAAACTCAACACATGGTAAAAATGGAGGGAGGAGGGAGCGGGCCAGGGGCAGTAAACTGAGGCTGCAGAGATGGCCTCTAGGGTGCCTGGTCAACAGGATAGATTTTACCCGAGAGTCCAGGAAAGCCATTGGAGATCTGAGGCAAGGAGTGAAATACTCAGGTTGGATTTTTTTTTTTTTTTTTTTTTTTAGTTTCTGGGCAAACACTCCACCACTAAGCTATAAGGGCAGGCAGGTGAGGCAGCTCCCTGGAGCAGAGGCACTGCCTTGGAGCTTTGTGCAGTCAGGTAGCCCTGAGCACAGCTGGGGAGGAGGACAGCAGTACAGGCCCCCCAAGGAGGACAACGGCTTGGCACAGGGGTGAGGAGTACACACTAGGGTCAACGAATAGGGTGTGGGCACAAGACGGGGATATATGGTCAGGGCACATGACAGAGTGGCACCTGAGAGTGACATACAGGCGTCCAGTTACTGGGGGCCTGGGATCAGGGCAGGAGCCTCAGGGATGCACTGCCAACTTACCTGGCAGAGGCAGTGGAGGCTGGACAGTATAGGTTTGTTGAGAGAAGGGTTTCACACTGTGGGAGAGAGGAGAAATCAGCGACCTCAAGCAGGGGCCAATGCCCTCTGGGTGGCAGGCCTGGTGACTGGCCATCAGTGAATCGTGGTGGCTTTGGCCTCCCATTCCCTCCAGTTAACTCCCTTGGCATGCATGTTAGGGCAACCCATCCTGTTCTCTCCTCCCTGGCCCACCAGAGAGCTGATTCTTAGGTTATTTCCTTTTGGATCCAAAGCCCTAGCCCCACCTACACCCTGGACAGACATGAGTTTCAGCAAGTGGTACCCCAGGGGGTCAGCATGAAAACAGAGCCATGTTGATGCCCAGGAGCAGGAGACTCAATCCCTAGGCTCAAGGCTATTCTGAAAGTCTGACCCCAGCCTGCAGCCCCACTCCTTCCAGGGGAGCCAGGCTCAGTCTCATGAGTCATGTGTTCAGACTGGTTCAGGGAGCAACTAGTAGCAGAACGAGGCCATACTCACTCATGGGATGTTCCAGCTTGGCCTGGCAAAGCTCCTTGCCAAAACTGAGGAGGCAAAAGGGGCAGGGTCAATTATATGCACACAGGGGCCCAAGGTATGGGAGAGACAAAACTGGACCAAATGGGAGGAAGGAAAGCCAATGCCCTTGTCTAACAAGTTAATGCCAACAGACTATAGCCGCATCCACAAGTGTGTTTTCAGGTACATGAGTCTCTGGAAAGACTGTCAATAAGATACTCCATGGGGAAAAAAAAAAAACAACCTAGGTTTGCTAACACTGCACACTGAATTCCCTATAAAGATTCAAAGTGCCCATGAGCACTTTAGGCTCTGAAAAATCCTAGAATCAAAAAATCGAGGCCAGGCACAGTGGCGCATGCCTGTAATCCCAGCAGCTTGAAAGACTGAGGCAGGAGGATCTAGAGAGGCTCTAAACAACTCAGCAAGACCTTGTCTTTAAATAAAATATAAAATAGGCCGGGGGTGTGGCTCAGCAGTTGAGTGCCCCCGAGGCTGGGGTGCAGCTCAGTGGTACAGACTGGGCTTAGCATGCATGAGGCCCTGGGTTCAATCCCTAGCACCAAAAAGGAATTGATTTAATTCCAAGTGTCCCAAACTTACTTGCCCACACAATCATCTTGTGTCACATCTATTTAACATGCTATTGGCCTACTGCTGTCTGGAACACACTCTGAAATACAATGCACAAGAAGCCCATGGACTACTATGGGGCCTGCCCCTTGTCCACAGCCTAGGGCAGTGTGGCTGGTGCATCTAAGACCCATATGATCCCTACAGCCAAGACACAACTTGGGAAGGAGGAGTGTTTCTGGAACATTTTCTAAGTGTGGCCAACTTGACCATGGCTGAAAGGCTGGTCCTTAGGCTGAGAAATTGAAAATCTAAGCAAGGGTTTGTTTCTGGACAGCTCTCCACCTAGAAGGGGGTGGTGCTGGGATCCTGAGCAGGAGGAGTGGGGACAAGTCGTGGCCAGCTACGAGGGACACACGGATGCTCTGCTAAAGCCTCAGACTTCAGCTTCCTCATCTGTAAATTGGGCTGTCCCTCAAATGGTCACACCTTTCTCCTTGTTCAAGGTCTGCCATGTCACTGCTAAGGATCGCAAGAAGGTAGCTTTACCCACTGAGCCATGACTCAGGGTGGTCCTGTGCCCTGGCTTCCTCCTTCCTCCCTGGAGCTCCTGGGCGGATAGGACTCAAGTGAGAGTGGCTGCTGGACTGGCTGCTGCTCATATTTGTGCACAGAGAGGGGAGAGGGGAGAGAGGAGGACAGGGCTGGTCTGGCCTCTGGTTCTAGGCTGCCCCACTTACCCCTGAGACTGCTGGGTAGCCTGGGCCCCGGGCGAGGGCCATTTTATTGTGGAAAGCTGTGGCCGAGATGATCTGGGCGGACGACATGGCAGCCATGCTCTGCAGGGCCTTGTCCTTAGCTGCCTGATCCTGGGGGAGACATTGAAGGCAGTGCCTCAGTGAGGGGCGCACCTGTCAGGCCCAGGCATGGTGGGTTCTGGCCTCGGGGTGACAGCACCTGTCCCACTGCCAGTGGCCAGAGCCTGGGAACCATATCTTAAGTCTGCAATGCCACTAACACATTTTATGACCGTGCATGCCACCGGGTTCTCTATGGATTCCCTCATCTGTCATAGCCTCCGCACACCACTTGTCCTGCTAATTCCATCACAGCTCAGAGACTGTGGAAACCGTGCCAGAGTGTAGCTTTTTTCTTTCTTTCCTTGTTTCTCTCTTCCTTTTGGCAGTGCTGGGATCAAACCCAGGGCCTCGCACATGCTAGGCAAGTGCTCTACCACTGAGGTATATCCCCAGCCCTGCATTTCCATCTTAACAACCATGAGAACACCTTAAAAACAGGGGTCTTGGGCTGGGGGTGTAGCTCGTGGTAGAGGCCTTGTCTAGTACACGCAAGGTCCTTGGTTCCATCCACCGCACTGCAAAAGGAAAAAAAAAGAAACCAAGGGTATATAGGTCTCTTCTGCCTCGTCCACCACTGTACTCTGAACCTCAGCACCTGGATGGTGGTGGATGATGCCTAAGTAGCTGTTGGATTCCATGCTCTGCAGGGCCTTGTCCTTAGCTGCCTGAAGAGGGATCATCTTTGTCCACATGGACTGTGTGGAAGAGAGGACAATCTCTTAGGCCCTACTTGTCTCATCCTGCCCTTTAACTTTTCATATGTCAAAATGTAAATAAATATCCTTGCCTGTCTTTGTGGACTCGGAGGGTCCAAAGAATGCGTTCAGCCTGCTCAGACCTGAATAAATAGGCACTTAGAAAAGCCTTTAATATCACACTAATAACAATAATCACCAAGTTGGGAGTGTAGCTCAGGGAGTAGAGGGTCCCTCTAACATATGAAAAACCCTGGGTTCAATCCCCAGCAGTGCAAAGACAAATAAGTACATGATAAATAAATAATTTGGGGTATAGGAGCACCTGCAATCCCAGGTACTCGGGAAGCTGAGGCAGGAGAATCACAAGTTGGAGACCAGCCTGGACAACTTAGCAAGACCCTGTTTCAAAATAAAATTTTAAAGGGCTGGGATGTAGCTCAGTGTCAGAGCACTTGCCTAGCATGCATGAGGCACTGGGTTCAACCCTCAGTGGAAGGAAAGAAGAAGAAAGGAAGGGAGGGAGGAAGAGAGAGAGGGAGGGGCAATAACAATGTTACGTAAGCTCAGGTAATCTTCCCTCACTCTCCAGTCTGTAAAATTGATGAGACTTGGGCTGGGGTTGTAGCCCAGAGGTAGAGCACTTGCCTTGCAAGCATGAGGCACTGGGTTCGAGCCTCAGCACCACATAAAAATAAATGAATAAAAATAAAGATATTAAAAAAAATGGTAAGACTTTCTCTCCTTCTTTTGTGCTGGGCATGGAACCCAGAACCTTGTGCACGTTGCTAAGTACAGCACATGCTTTGCCACTGAGCTCCACCCCAGCTATGATGAACTTGTGTGTGTGTGTGTGCACATGCACATGCTACTGGGTATTGAACCCATGGACTCATACATGCTAGTCAAGTGTTCTGTCACTGAGCTACATCCTCAGCCCTTGGGAAAAAATTCTTTTAAATTCCAAGATCAGGTCTCACTAAGTTGGCCAGGCCAGCCTTGAACTTATAATCCTCCTGCCTCAGTCTCTTGCAAAGCTTGGATTAGAGGCACATGTAAACATGTCCAGCTTTATTCCTTATAAATTACCCAATCTCAGGTATTTTGTTATAGCCACAGAAAACTATCACAGTCCAGACTGGCACAGAGTGGGCTCTGTCAACCAAGACGACAGTGGCAGACATGTCAGGGCCTAGAAGCACTCAGCAACACAATGGAAGACGTGGGAAACATTCTGAGTGCTGACATCATCTGTCACTCAGGCAAAGCAGTGAAGTAGATGATGTTTGAAAACAGAGGTTTGTCATTGGGCCCCTCCCCAACGTTTAGGGTCAAAACTTGGGCCTGGCTCTCAGAGACTGTCTCAAATAACCCCAGAGGCAGTAATAAGTAGAGGTGTGCCTCCTCCTAAGGAAAAGCCAGCCCAGGCCTCTTCCTCCCGGAGATATGAATGACCTGGCAGGCTACACCCCCCACCAGACACACACACACAGACCTCTGAGAAGAACAACTACATCACGAGGCCAGAGAGCTCGTGGCTCTGTGCCAGCAATCTGCGTCCCTTCCCGGATCCCCACTCTAAACAAATGACTGTGCCTCAGGAAACCATGTCCTCAGGGGGAGAGGCAGGAGTCAGGAAGAAGTAGAAAGGACATTATGGGGAGTGACATCAGTGGCCAGGCAGCAGAGGAGGGTCATTGAATTTTGCAGCTGGAGGGAACCTCAGCTATCACCTTGCCACATGGCCCTGTCATTTTACAGATGAGGAAACTGAATGGCACTCAGGGAGGTTGCGTGACTTTCCCATGTACCTGTGGCCACAGAGGTAGAGATAGAGCTAGGACCAAACCTCACAGCCTGAGGATTTCTACCTGGCCTCGCTGTCCACCCCAGAGCTTAATAACTTGGGCCCCAGGACCCCCCTTAGAAGTAGGACAAAATCTTCATGCCCACCTCTCCAGCAAAACACACATATAAATGAAACTGCGTATTTTAAGCATTTTGTGGTTCCCTTTGGTGGCTGTCTGGCAGTCCACCGAAGGCTATCGTCAGCCCCAAGTTAGAATGTGTGGACAAGGATGTATGCAATTTCCTAAGTGTGGGTGGGACAGTAGCCCCAGGGGACTTAAACCTTCCCTGGGGTGCTCTAAACATAACACTGCAAAGTCTGTCCTCCACGGCCACCTGCTGGGGTCCCAGGGAGTCAGCGGCACACCAGAGAAGGGACATGAGGAGCAAGCAGGGCTCCAGGGCTGGGGGTGTTCCGGGGGGGGATCCACAGCTGCAGCCAGGCCAGCTGTCCCAGGGACAAAGGGACGAGGTGTTGGGTCACAGCTGTGGGGCGTGGGGGACAGCTGGGTTGATGGCACAAGGAATGGAACTGGGCGGGCAGTGGGCTGTGGCTTCCTAGGAGGCAGAAAGATCTGTGGTTCCCACCCACTCAGTCTGGGGCCCAAGTGTCAGGATCATGGGCTCCTGGGGCCAGATGGGACGTTCAAGGTCATCTAGTCCAGTGCTGTTGAGGTTCTTGGTCAGGTACAAGAGGCTGCACAGAAGGAGGGGGTCTCTGGCCTGTTGATATTTTGTTTGGGGAAAATAATAAAAGGGACTTTTGTTGTTGTTGTTGTTTTTTAATTTTATAAACTATTAATCTAATTCAATGGTCCAAATGTTAGAGCTTCCTTTCAAGAGGACAAGCAGGCTAGGTTGTTAACAGCTCCATGACAGGGAGCTCACTCCCACAGAGTATTCACCAAAGGGTCTTTGGCTCCACGATCCAGGAGGCCTGACTTCCCGAGGGAAACCCTGTCAGCAGCTGGCCTTCCACAGAGCAGCCACCTGTCACAGAGGCCCTGCAAGGCGGGCTGATTCAGGGAGGGGAAGAAACGCCTAGTCCCAGAAAGCAGGGAGCAGGAAGGAATTCCGCCAGCCCCTCCCCTCCCATAATAACACCAAACTCTGCCACCCCCCCCCCCCCCCCCCCCCCCCCCCCCCCCCCCCCCCCCCCCCCCCCCCCCCCCCCCCCCCCCCCCCCCCCCCCCCGCCCAGCAGGCTGACTGATGGCCCCGAGAGGCCTGTGGGGGTCCCAAGAGGGCCAGTGGCTTGGGGAGCTCTTCCAGGAAGGGGATCTAAAGGTTGATCCAACCGTGCTGAGCTAGGGGAGCTTCCTCTGAGCTAGGGGTTGGGCACAGCAGGAGGCGGCCTGTAGCTTCCTGGGACTACAGAGACCAGCAACCACACAGGGCTCCAATGTCCAGCAGAGTGTGGTCACAGGACCCCAAAGCAAAGAAGCACACGAGCTCTGCACATAGGCAGCCAGCCCCTGAACACACAGGGGAGACTTTCCTGCTGGAGAAAGAGCCCCAGTTTCTGAGAAGCTGACCCCACCTGAAACCAAAGCACCCCCCCTCCTCCCGCGGCTCCTGTCTGCCTTACCTTGAGCTTGGCCTGGATCTCGCGGGCTTTGCGACGAGCCAGCACCTGGATGTGACTGGAGACCTGTGGCAGGAAGAGAAGGTTCCTGTCCCTACCTCTCATACAGCCTGTGCTCCCAGACCCTGGGCCCTCAGCCACATCTGTGCATGGACTGACTGAATGACAGGATCTAGGGGTGGGGGTGGTGCTCAGTCCTGTGAATCCCCAGTTTGCCAACACTTTTAAAGTGTAGCGCCAGTGTTTTGACATCTTTTCTAATGTCCCAAAGAGGAGGCTGCTGTTTCTTCCCAGGGGATGACAGGAAGACACCCCCCACACACACCCCCACCCCCCACCCCAGCACCCCACCCCCCAAGCTGGACCATGTGTGTCACACCCGCCCCCCACTGCCCTGCCCCTGGGGTCCGTGACGCCTCCAGGGCCCACCTGCTTCCTGGTGCGGGTCTTCCCTGTCCGGAGCTTGATGTAACGGGCAATCAGCTCATTGCGACCTGCAGCAAGTGACAACAATCTCTTGGTGGGGAGGAGAGGACAGAAGGCAGAGAGGCAAGAAAGCAGGGGGACAAGAGGGGCCCTTCCCCGGAGGAGCCCTTTCCTTCCTTTCCACCTTGGGTGGGACTTGGGGTGAGAGACCACAGGGATCTCCCAGCAGCAAGAAGACACAAGGCCTCACTGGGTGGACTGGTGACCTGAGAACAAAGAGCTCACAGCCCAAGGAGCCTCACAGAGCCTCCCAACCCCCAGCCTTGTTCCCCACCCCATCCTGGTCACCTCTTCATCTGGGTCCCCACAAGAGGCTCAAGCCACCTCTGCCCCCACCTCCATCTGGAGCTCCAGAGTAGTGCCTGACCCTTGGCCCTTTCCATATGAGATTCCCACAGTTCCTACTGCCTCTGAAAATGAGCAGAACCTTCCAAGATGTCCTGTCTGTGACTAAGGAAGGTCCTGGGAGGCACACTCCTGAGACTGAGTGTCCCCAGACAGCAGGCCTGGGTCCTTCACTCAAAACCAGAAATCCCAGCTCAGTGGTGGAGCACTCCCCAGGTTCGTACAAAGCCCTGGGTTCCATCCCCAGCACAACAGGAGCAGGGTGAGGGCTGGGGGTGCGCCTCAGGGGTAGAGGGCTTGCCTAGCATGCTCAAGGCCCAAAACAAGGAAACAAACAAATCCAGCCAACCCCACCTCCAGCCCTGGTTCTGACTTAGGCCAGTCAACAGGCAGCATGGAACACGCCCAAGGCCTGGTGGCCTGGAGGTGACGCTGTATCTGCAGAACCCTGGCCAACTACAGAAGCCCTCCAAGTCTTCTATTACCCTAAATGAGCTCATGAAGATGTTCCCCCAATGAGTTCCCCACCTAGTTATGGGGGGCATGTGCTCACACATGGTTTGAGTGCTTGCTAGAGACAGAGGTGTGTTCAGAGGATGAGGATCTGTTCAGGCTGCTGGGTGGTGGGGCCTCTCTGCTTTGGACCATGACCACTGGGTAGGATTAGACCACACAGAAGAAGATGGTGAGGGAGAAGGAGGGCGAGAGGTCTGGGGTTGGGGGATCTGTCCATTGCCTCCTAGCTCCAGCTCTGGGGCCAGAGGGCATAGCTCCAGCCTGCCCTGTGCTGCTGAGGCTGGAGTGGCCCACGAGGAAGCTGCTGATAAAGGGGGACATGAGCCGAGCGGGCTGTCTGCCACCTGGGTTGTAACCAGCGAGCCTGGCCAAGACCAAACTGGCCCCCCAGCTGACCTTTCCCCACTGCCAAGCCTGAATTAAGAGGCCACCCTCAAGAGGTCCTGTCTGCCAGAAAGACTTGCTGGCTAGGAGAACTGGCTTGTCTGTGTCCAAAGGAGAGAGGAGAGGCTCAGGCTCAGACTCAAGGAGACACTGCCCATGAGCTGCTCTGCACCTAAAACCATGAGTCCAGCAAGAGGTCTCTTCTCAAAGCTTTTCAGGGAAAGGTTCCACAGGAACCTCTGTTAGTCCAATGAATGTCCCACAGTTCTGCTCCATGTCTAACTAGAGGTACTCAGGCTGCAGCTTTGAAATATATGGTCTAATTCATTACCACTGGGTTACTGAAAAAGGACCACCAGCCTGGAAGGTGGGAGCTTGGCTGGAGCCCACAACTCCAAGAAGAAACTGAGACCCTGACAGGTCAGCTCCCTCCGAGGACCTTCACCCAGCCTTCTCTTCTTTAAATCTAGTTTCTTTAAGGCTTCTGCACACCCACAGGCTGACTGCAGCACTGTGGGTCGAGGTGCTGAGGAGTGGGAGAGCCTCAGATGGGTGGTGGGAGAGCTGGAGAGATGGGGATGGTAGGGGGTACTTGGGAGAATATCTAGGGGACAGTTCTTGTGCTACTCCTCTGGCCCATACCTTGCACACAGTGAGCAGCTATCAGTTATCTCTGCTAATTAGACTTTCAGTGCCTCAGAGGAAGAGCCCACACCCTCATTCAAGTCTGCATCTCCAACAACTGGCACCTACTGAGTGCCTGAGTGAATAAATGACATGAGTTTGCCATGGCTCTCCCTTCAAACAGAACTGGGCTGCTGTTCATCCCCATAGCTACCATGGTCCAAGCTACCACGCTGTCTGTCTGGCCTGGACAATGAAAATCTCTCTCCACCTGGATTCCACACTCCCAGTCTGTTCTCAACACATTAGCTGCAGTGATTCAATTAAAATTCAAAAGCTGCCAGACTGGTGCATGCCTGTAACCCTGGTGGCCCACGGAGTGAGGCAGGAAGACTATAAGTTTAAAATCAGTCTCAGCAACTCAGTGAGGCCCAAAGGAACTTAGCAAGACCCTGTCTCAAAATAAATATAAGGGTTGGGTTGTAGTTCAGTGGCAGAGTGCTTGCCTCACACATGTGAGACACTGGGTTCGATCCTCACCACCACATAAAATAAAATATTATTGTGTCCATCTACAACTAAAAATTAAATATAAAAAATAAATAAAATATAAAAAGAGTTGGGGATGGGACTCTGTGATTAAGCACCCCTGGGTTTAATCCCTGGTACCCCCCCCAAAAAATGTTTTTTTAACCACACCCCCCCCAAACAGCTCCCTGGCTTCCATCTCCCTCTGATTAAAAGTGGCCAAGACCTACCAGGTGCAGTAGTGTGCACCTGCAGTCCCAGCTACGAGGGAGGCTGCAGCAGAAAGAGTGTGGGCCCCGAAGCTGGAGGCCAGCTGGGCAAGATTAAAAAAAAGAAAAATCAGTAAAAGTGTGAAAGTCCTTGCGATGGCCTGAAAGCCCCTTTAGGATTTGTCCCCGCTCTGTGCAGCTCAGGCATCTCTCTAATGCCATCCGCCCCACCGCCCTGACCTCCTTGCTGTTCTGGGAACTTGTGAGGCCTTTGCACTTCCTGATCCTCCTTCAGGGGAATATTCAGTCAAGGAGACCAATACAGCTCACCATCTTCAAGTCTCTGCTAGGGTCTGACACGGCCTCATGGCTCAAACGCCACCAGATGCCGTGTCTCAGGAGGTCTTCCATGATCATGTCACTGAGTGCCCAATCACCCTCCCACTTCACCCTAGCACTTCCTATTGTCTGCACTTTCCTCTGCAGCGCATTTTGAGGGTGGGGCGATTGAACCCAGGGGCACTCTACCACTGAGCCACCTTCCTAGCTCTTTTTTATTTTGCAACAGGGCCTAAGTTGCTTGGGGTCTTGCTAAGTCATGAGACTGGCCTCAAACTTGTGATCGTCCCGTTTCAGCCTCCCAAACTGCTGGGATTACAGGTGTGCACCACCACAACTGGCTTTGAGTTTTTCTATACATGAACAAATCTAGAATTTTCAGGGCCCAAGGCATTCAAAAATTAGGAGGTTCTCTTTGAAAAAAAGAATGAGAACTACAAATTGATTAAAAACTCTTAGTTGGGGATGCACTGGCCCAGCATATGTGAGGCCCTGGGTTGGGTCCTCAGCACCACAAAAACAAACAAACAAACAAACAAACAAAAACCCACATCTGGGAGCGATGGCTGTGTTCACTATCATGATGGCGGTAATGGCTTCACAGGTACACACATCTGACAAAACTAAAATTCAGTTTAGGGACATGGAAGGGGCTCATACAAGTAGGAACTCCTGCAACATAAGCCTCATGTTCTTCATGGTAAACCCGCCCCCTCCCTACAGCAGGTAGCAACTATACCTACGTGCCATGTAAGTCAACTGAAACCAGGGGCTGGGGATATAGCTCAGTTGGTAGAGAGCTTGCCTGGCATGCACAAGACCCTGGGTTCAATCCCTAGCAACACACACACACACACACACACACACACACACAAAGGTGGAAAAAAGAAATACAATTAATTAAGGGGAAAAGAAAGAAAGAAAGAAAGAAAGAAAGAAAGAAAGAAAGAAAGAAAGAAAGAAAGAAAGAGAAAACTGAAACCAGAAAGTCCCATCCCGACCACCCACCAATGCATCTCTGACTGCCCAGCTGACTCTTGGCAAGGACACTTGCTTATGGCCCTACCTGGCGCAAAGAGGATGCTCAGTTAATGCCGTGCCTTTCACAGACCAGGCAGGCCTGACCCGTAAGGCAAGGAGGCTGTTCCTCGGCACACAGAAGCAGACCTGGGAGGCCCTACCTGCCACTGGCCAAGACCCTCATTCCAGGCAACATGGGACACTCAGCCTTGTGGGCCAGGAGCCTATCCCTGCCCTGCGGTTCTGGGGGACTCTCCTGCCAGAAAGGCCATCTTAGCCCTAGGCAAGAGGCCAGCTGTGGGTTTGAGCCAAACCCAAGGGGTTTAAACTGTCTCTGAATTTTTTTCTCACTATATTTATGGGGGTACAAAGTGATTATATATGTCTAAAATGTGGAATGACTAAATCAATCCAATCATCATTTCAAATCTCATTTTTCATGGTGAAAACATTTGACATTTATTCTTGTGGTACTGGGGATGTAGCTCAATGGCACACTCCTGTGCAAGGCCCTGGATGTGATATGTGATCTTCAGTAAAGGAAAGGAGAGAAGCAAGGGATTTTGAAAAATGTTCTTTTTTTGTGGTACTGAGGATTGAGCCCCAAGGTCTTTCACCACTGAGCTACACCCCCAGCCCATGTAACATTTTATTTTTAGATAAGGTCTTGCTAAATTGCCAAGGCAGGCCTCAAACTTGCAATCCTCCTGCCTCAGCCTCCAAGTCTCTGGGATTACAGGTGTGGGCCACCACACCCAGCTTATAATACACTATTATTAACTAGTCATCCTACTGTGCAATAGACTCAGTAAGGTCTGAGTCTATTGCACAGTAGGATGACTAGTTAATAATAATGTATTATATACCTAATTAAATATATATATTATTATATAACTAATCTAATTATCTTTGTGTTCTTTGACAATATCTCACGTTCTTGCCCCCCGCCCCCCGTGAGTCTTGTTGCTGTAGATTCCACAYCTAAGGAAGATCATGTGGCACCTGTCCTATGCCTACTCATTCCACTAGCTTTGTGTCCTCTA